CTTTTGGAGAGTGTAATAAACTCCTCTGGCAATTACATGATTCAAAAAAGTTTTAAGAGGAAAGAAAATTAATCATTACTTTGCCAAGAGTTTAAACTAAGATGCAATGACTGGGAAAACATCATTTTATAGAATTAGGCCTTATTTACAAGGGCTCCTGGTAAAAGTGTGGAACCCAGTGTGGAGTATCCTGCATCTGAGCACCCCAGGGGATGTGGAACCAAGTGTGGAGTATCCTGCATCTGAGCACCCCAGGGGCCAAGGGCAGCCAGCAGGGAGAGGGTCTGAGGGAAGGGCAAAGTGAGGTGAGCTGCCTGAAGTCCATGGCGAGAGTACGGTGGCTGTGGATCAGGCCACACTGAGCCCTCTTGAGTGCTCCTAGTGACCACTGGGACCGTGAGAGTGATGCTCCCTAAATGCTTATCCTGGTGCAGTGAGCACACTGGGTGGTGCAGAAAAGAAGCACCCCAGCAGGTGTTCAGCATTCAGGGGATTAACTCCAGAGCTGCTGTGTCTCTGTGCCTTCCTCTGTTTCCCCACCCTCTCTGTGTGGCCTCTGGCTTACCATCATGCCCTTGTTCCCCTGGGTCTTCTGGCTGACATGCCATTTGCCCCCCTTCCTGGCTCCTGCCTTCGGTTTCAGTCCTTGGATTCTGAACAACTTGTCTCCCCTTTGGCAATACTGAGAATGTGTAACAAGCAGCCTCTGTTTGACAGAGCCCCGGGACAGCTGACACCTGTGAACTGGCCTATAGGCAGCCCCTCCAGCCAGGCCAAGTGTTTCTGTAGAAAGGTCTCAGACAATGACAGCAAGCCAGATGCTGTGCCAGGCCCAGCAACCTTGGAGTATTCCCCAACAACGAAAGACGAAGTTTATAAATATAGTTGCCTGGCATAACCCCCAAATAACCGAGAGTGACTCTCCATTCCTCTATAGCTTTTCGCTTGATGTATATATGAGAACTGAGGAGGGACTCCTGAGGATCATGGTTCCTACACATGAATTACAAACACTGCTGCTAATGTTATGATTATAATAAAAAATTCTATCCAGTTTCTCAACTGTCACCCCACCATATGTGTTAGGATTTTGAGACATCATAACCTGCAGGTAAAGTTTAATATTCAACAAAATGAGCAGCTATCATCTCAGGCTATGGCCCGATATACTATAGGTTGGTGTCTCCTACTCATGCTGTGCACAGACTCTGCCCCTTTAATAATTCCTAGGCTGGGGTTCTAGACTTCAGGCAACTATGAAAAAATGACTAGATTTTTTCCCCAAGCTATCAAAAGTGGTTTCATATTATTTTGTATTAATCTGTATGAGATTTACATTGTTTTGTATACCATTTCTTAAATCCTTAATTCTGAGACTTGAAAATGCATCAAAGAAATTTATGGCCAGTGAACAGAAGTTCAGGAATCATGGCAAAGTACAATCAGTGGCCAACATAAACTTCTTGCCAAAGACCACAGAAGAATCAGGATGTATGTGAGGTGTCCGAAAGTCCTCTATAAAATGTTTTACTCTATTTAATTTGGAATATTGTGATCTGAGAAATGGAGATGCCCAGCGAATTTAACCAATCAAATCCAGACCCCCAGCTATCCCCTGTGTCCAGCTGCAACCCTTGCCTTTGTAAAGACTGTGATGTTATGGCATGACAGCATTATGGCCACATCGCTGTTCCCCAGTGCGGACCTGTGGTTCATCTGCAAACTGTTGTCATTTTCCACTTCTGTCAGTTTTGCGTGGCTGCCTAGTCTAGTGTAGGCCTTGCCTTCGCTAGTCACTTAATAGTATGTCCCACAGTGACAGAAACAGCTTCTGGATCTTGCACTCTCTGCTACTCTCAAGAATATGTACTGAGGTCATATTCCCAGGACTAAAGACGCTCCGTGTGATGGGTGAGCATCTGTTCTCACTCCCGGTGCTTCTTTCCATTTGCAGGAACATTTGCTACAGTCCCAACTCTGGCCTTTTTCTGCTCCCCATACCCATGTCTCCTCAGAGCAGGAGAAGTAACTTATCTTATTGGCGAGTTTGGAAAGGAGCCTCTTCCCCTCCCCTGCTCTCTGAGGGACCACCGGTGCACATGAAGCTCATGGTACTTTCTGCTCCTTAATGCTCTGAGTCTTACAGGTGCAGGGCTTTCGTGAGTAAGTCTGTAATTCAGAGTGGCATGATAAGTCATATTTTCAAGCTTTATTGTAGTAAGGGTGATGTTTCATTCTCCATCTGCCAAACCCTCTGTCTACCTCAATGAGTTCCAAAATTAGTTAGGGTGCAGGGATGTCAATTATTAAGGTCCCTCAAACCCTGACATTCTAAAATGAGAGAGAGAAAGAAAGAAAAAAAGAAAGAAAAGAAGAGAAGGAAAGCTAGCTTTCTGCCTTGAAGAAAACTATAATCTAATGAGACAGAGAAGGAAAATGTAATTGTTTGCATATTTAGCATGCAAGACAAACTCATGCTAAATAAAATATGTATGTGTGCAAGAAAATAGAAATAAAGAATTGCGAGGTACAGCATTTCTCAGTGCTAAAAGGAAACAAAAGTGAATAAAGAAAAATGTGGTTAGATAAGAAGCCTAGAGGTTATATTAGAATAGTGAAATAGGAACTTCAAAAAGTGGAGGTGGGGTGTGGTGAGGGGTGGATAAAAATGGGATGAAAATATAGTAAGATGCAAATAAAATTCAGTCATTCACTCATTCAGCAGGCAGATGGATCCACACCAGGCCTGGTAAACAATGCTAAAAGTGTTAAATTAAATGAATGGAAAGTTACTGAAGGGTTCAGAGCAAGGGAATGGCCTGGTCTGACTTGCATCTTGGAAATTCCCTTGGGTGGAAGAGAGGAGAATGAGCTGGAACTGTAACGATCTCAAGGAACCCTGGTGGAAGGTCATGGTATAATGATAATAAGGTGGAGCTTCTGGTTGAGGTACTGGTAAGAAGGGGCAGGTGAGGCTGTTACTGGTTCCTAGGGTGAAGCCATAAGGGCATTCTGGGAGAGACAGGGAAAATTTGAGTGGTAAAGTTGGATAGAGACTGATTCAGGCTTTCACAGGGATCACAGTTGAAATGGGGCCTCAGCACAGGCACAGCTAGAAGATGGCGCAGGCTCCTAATGGTACTCTGTAGATGCTTCCAATGGATGTGAGCTTTAGTGTCCACCTTCTGTAGAAGACATTTCTCCTTGAATTTACGGGACACTTATTTAAGTGATGCATATCCACTATTGTGTAAACAGAAGTACAAAAATTCAAATTTCTGAAGTGATTTGGACCTTTTTAAAAAATAAGTGCTTTTGTTTAGCCAAATTATTTTAAAATTTCTCTAAAAAAGCAAATATGCTTTGTAAGAAATAGTGCTGGGACAACTGGATATCCACATGGAGAAGAATGAATTGTATCCTTTCCTCACACCATACACAATTAACTCAAAATAGATCACAGACCTAAATGTAAGAGTTAAACACTCTTGGAAGAAATTACAGGAGTAAATCTTCATGATCTTGGATTAGGCAAAGGCTTCTTAGATATGAAACATAATGCACAACTGACAGAAGAAAAAAATAGGTAAGTTGGACTTCATTAAAAATTAAAAACTTTGTGCCTCAAAGGATGCCATCAAGAAAGTAAAAAGAAAACTCATTGAATGGGAGAAAATGGTTGCAAATCACATATCTGATAAGAGACTTGTATCCAGAATGTATAAAGAATGCTTACAACTCAACAAAAAGACAAATAACCCAATTAAAAATGGGCAAAGGATTTGAATAGATGTTTCTCCAACAGAAATAGACAAATGGCCAATAATTGGCACATAAAAAGATGCTCAACATGATTTTTTCATTAGAGAAATACAAACAATGCCAAGATGAGATACCACTTTACACTCCCTAGGATAGCTATCGTTGAGAAAGACAGATAATAGTAAGTGTTGACAAGGATGTAGGGAACTTGGAACCCTTGGACACTGTTGGCGGAAATGCAAATGGGGTCAACCAATCTGGAAAATAGTCTCAGTAGTTCCTCAAAAGCTTACGAGTTACCATATGACCCAGAAACTCCGCTCCTAGGTATATTCCCAAGAGAAATTGAAACATATGTCCACAGAAATGTGCACATGAATGCTCAGAGCAGCATTATTTTTAATATCAAAAAATGGGAAAAACCAAATGTCTATCAATGGACAAATGGATAATAAAATGCAGTACACTCATGCGATGGAATATTACTTGTAAATAAAAGGAATGAAGAACTGGTTCATGCTTGAAAACATTACGCTTAGTAGAAGAAGCCATCTACAAAGGACAACACATTGTGTTATTCCATTATTATGAAATATCAGAAAAAGCAAATCTATAGAGCCAGAAAGCAGTTTAGTGGTTGCTTGGGATGGTGGGGGGGGGACATGGGGAGTGACTGCTAATGTACTAATGGGCATGGAGCTTCTTTTTGAGGTGATAAAAATGTTCTAAAATTCGATTGTGTGATGGTTGCACAGTTCTGTGAATATAGTAAAAGCTATTGAACTGTACACTTTATTTTTTTAATTTTTATTTATTTTTTTTTTTTTAAAGATGACCGGTAAGGGGATCTCAACCCTTGGCTTGGTGTTGTCAGCACCGCGCTCAGCCAGTGAGCAAACCAGCCATCCCTATATAGGATCCAAACCCGTAGCCTTGGTGTTATCAGCACTGCACTCTACCAAGTGAGCCATGGGCCGGCCTGAACTGTACACTTTAAATGGATGAATTGTATGGCATGTGAATTCAATCTCAATGAAACTGCTATGTTTTTAAAAAGTAATATGCTTAGTATATTTAAAATCTAATCCCCTTCCTTTCTCCCTTCCTTCCTTTTTTCCTTCTCTCCTTCCTTTCTTTCTTTATAAAGTCTAATTTATAATCCTGGGATAGAATATGTTTAGTGCATGAGATAAAATATAACTATATTGTCAGCTGAGTAACAAGAAAAGATAGAAAGCCCAAAGTGGAAAGTCTGTTTAATTTGAAGAACTACAGAAAAATGGAGAATATCTAAAGTTTAAGCACGTCTCCTTCATGACATTTATTATTTCTTTCATTCAACACATATTTATGGGACATTTATTAAACATTTGAGGCATAGTACTAGATGCTATTTTATGATTCCAAAGCAACATATAAGTATATTTTCCATAGCACATACCTGAGACCAAGTTTCAAATGTTTTATAACCAGTCTGTCAATTCTGCCTTTTCTCTTTATTCTAGCAAGTAGTTTACAGTAGCTGACTTGGTCTATCCAAAATTGCTTAAAAAGATAAAACACACAATCATATTTGGAAATCCCTTGATATTTACAGAAATGCAAAACACTTTCTTAGAAAATTCATAAAATAGCTGTGTGTCTTGAACCATGTCTGAGTTGTCCAGTGGCCCAGTTGGGAAGCAGAGCCACAAGGAGTGGGGTGTGGAGAAGCCAAGTTTGTTTTTTGGTTCCTCCTCCCACCAGTGGAGCTTACAGATATACTTTGGTTTAGGAGAGCTGGAAGCTTGACCTAGCTGGGGTTAGTAGCCAATGTCATCCTAAAGGCCCCTGGAGAAACTGGCTAATTATAAAATAGCTTTCAGATCTACCAGGATCAAATCAGAACGCATCTCTCCTTAGGAAAAACCCAAAGCTTAGATGAGTATGACTTGGAAGTGTTGTCTGAGGCTCTACCCCAGATCCTCTGAACCTGCATCTCTGGAGGTCAGTCAGATGATGTTTAAAAGCCCAGAAAGGTTGCAAATTATACTCTATGGCTGAACTCAGATTTGAGTGGATTTCCAAAGTCCCTTGAAAGGAAAAGAGAGCTGGGACTTTATAATTCAGGACTCTTCTAGGCTACAAAGAACTCCCTGGTCCTATTATGGTTTCTGCTTAGGTCTTCAGCACTTGATTGAACTGGATTCTGGAGATTAGGCATATGGACAGGGAAAGGCCATTCATCTCATCTTTGACTTAAGGATCCTTCTTTCCATTTATCCTTCGTAGTCAACCCAATTATCTTCCTCCTGGAATTAGCAGCAAAGTTGTAAAATATCCAGGAGAAAAGATGTCTATACATATTTCTAGCAGATTTTACTCATATAAAATGAAATACATTTACAGAGAGTAGAATTTTCTTGAGAGAAAATAATGCAACTTTAAAACAAAAATAAAAGGAAAAAAAAAATGTTAGCCAGATAATGAAGCCATCAAAATGTATGCAGTATTTTGGCAAAAAGTGTGTTCTCCCCATTTGGTGTCTGAATTTTCTTTATTATTTACTGGTATTCATGATTCCTCTTGTGTCTGAGTCTCATTTATTTATTCAACACTATTTATTGAGTAATTACACTTTGTCAGACAAATATCTGAAATTTTATTATGTAATTTGAAGATTTTAAAGATGAGTGAAGGAGAAAAAAAGTAGGGAAGAGCAAGAAATATGTAAACCTGTGCACATGTTTATTCTCCTCTCGATATTGAGGATCCACACTTAATTTAATCTCTTGTGTATGTCTCAGGGATCCTTCTTTCGCACGGGAGGAAAGTGGGCTCCTCTGAATTCATTAGAACACCATCCTTTAAGGAGAAAGAAAATTTTAACAATGGCTATTTCAACAACTACTGCCATTGAAGTACGAATTTGCTTTCAGCCAGATAACAAAGGCTGATTTGCTTTCTTTCCAGTTGATTTGATGGTTTGCTGGAAGCCTTAAACACATTACATAAATCCTTAGAAATCCTTCATGAAGACAAATTCGGTATTTTTAAGCAGTGGTCCTTTGCTCTCGTGCTTCATGGCACAGAGATGGCTCCCAGACTTCTTGAATCAGGGTGAACGTTGAAATTCATATTTCAAGGTAAACACCATATAAGGGCTTCACCGTCCTAAGAAGACCTGATATGTTGTCCTTTCCTGACAAGTTTCACTTGCAGATGTGCTTTATTTAGCACAAACTCATTTTTATTGCAATAATGGGATCCATGTGTATATATATGACTAATCATTTAAAAATGCAGTTATCCTTCATTCTTCAAGATCTCCTACAGCAAACTTAGGTGACTAAATTAAACATATTTCAACTCAGGCTCAGTAACTCTTCTCGGGAGTTTCTAAGGAACTTAGGTCTCTGATGGAGACCAAACTGTTTCCTAATTAAATGGCTAGTTGGTCAGGGACTGGGACCTGGCTCTGTCATGCTCTCTCCATTCCCAGGCCTCCACCATTTTCTTTGGAATTCTGTGTCACTCAAGGATTCCCTTTGTTGTTGTTAAGTAAGCATTGCTTCAGGACTACGTGCATAAAACTTACGCTTAATATATCACCATCCCAAGCAATGAACTGACATCTCTGCTGATGTGTCCACATTCTCTTCAGTAAGACATCCCCTTCCTAACTTGTAATGACATGTCAGGTATTATGATAGTCTACACCTTATATTGGGTGCCAAAGTGCAGCAATGTCCAAGGCAGCCTTCACACAGATAGACGTGCAGGCAGACGATCCATCAATCCATCAACAACCAAGGCCTGCTATGTGCATACAGGATATACGGTTTATGCTAAGTTCTCACAGAAACCCTATCCTTTGTAAGCTTTTCCACTCCTCAAGACAAGGGAGAAATTTTTGTTCACTCATATTTGGAAGGGAACCCATGTTTTTCATGTTCTTTGAGTTCTCCAATTCTTAGTGATTTTTGGAGGGCTGATAGGTGATTCTTGCTAAGATACATCTTTTCTGGGACTTTATATAAGAGGAGAAAACTCCACAAGCTAGGTCAGAAACAGACAGCAGCTATTGCTTTCATGTAGACATCCTCTTTTCTGGGATGGAAAGAAAAGTACAGGATTGTGGCCACAGACCCCAAGGATGACTCCTGGGTGTGAACAGGGCACAGACTCAGGGGCTACTTTGTGCAAGGCAGGACAGAGAGGGGCCCAGGACAACCATGCAAGAGCCACCCAAAGGTTGGTTGCTGCAGGGCCAGGCCCCTGCTCAGATAGTTCATCCTGAGTAACTGTATGAGAAATAAAGGAGAAAATTACATTTAGCCAAACAAATAAAAAGCTAGGATTTTCCTACTTTCAGGAAAAACAAAGTTTGGATTTTTTTTTTTTTCTTTTTTAGAAGTAAGGATTTTTATGTATAGAATCATCCAAGAATAATAGGTTTTCAATTTTTATGGCCTTGATTGTGTTAATGAAGCTGTTATTCACACAGAACGTGAAAATCATTCCACTTTGGAGGCGCGCGTTGCTGACAGTGTTTGGGGACGAGCAACGGGACCAGTTACGCGAACAGTAGGAGGAGGGTCAAAGCCAGAGCGCAGCGGCCAAGCTGGATGGTCGGTGCCACGCTGGCCTGGCCCTTCAGCATGCACAGCACCCGGGACCAGGACCCATTGTTGGGCAGCGGGGTGATGCCTGCCACATTGCACATGATGTTGTAGACATCCACTGACCTGATGGGAGCGGCTCTGAAGTTGCATTTGAAATCTGAAAGGCAAAGGCACAGGAACAGGCTGTCATGTCACTCACCCAGAGAGAGAGCAGAAAGCGGCTGAATCACAATACAAAGGACTATACTCAGGCTCGAAGTGACTTTGGGATCAGAAAATCACCTCCCTTAGTGGGCTGTGCCCAAGTGATGGTGAACATGGAAGAGTATTTAAAAGGTTCTAGGTTATGAAAGGAAATAGCTTTCTATGGCTCCTGGAGATGAGTTTCTTTAAAAGACAAGTCAGCAAACAGACTTTCTTTGGGCTTGGTGTACTCCCCTCGTGACCACAGAGCTTTCCTGGAGGGGCAGCAGGGCCACCTGATGCTGCTCCATTTCTGCAGAGCACTGGAGAGCTGGTGTGGTCACAGAAGACTGAGTGTCAGCTGGGCTCCCCTTATCCAAATTAAACGGTATGCTTAGCTTCCAGAACGTCTATCTGAGACCAACAACCAGGGTGCCGATTTCTACTGCAGAGGCCCCACAGCAACTCAAGAATGTTTTATTTAATTTTCCTGCCATCCTGAGGTCTTTATGGAATGTGAAACCATACAGTTTCCTTGGTGCTGACTAGCTTAGCAGATACGGCAATGGTTTTCTATTGGACATTCCTTGGGACCCTTTTACCGACAGATAAAATAACTTAGCAATGTGGAAAATAAGCAAACTGGTGCTGGCTTGATGGATCCACAAGAAGGCGCTGAGATCTAATGAAGAAGAGCACTGGGCCTCTACCCTGAGCCTGCACCAAACTTGAGCGGTGACACGGGAATGCAAAGGGCAGGGCTGGCATTCACAGGATACTAAGTGTGGGCACTGGAGGTGCCTCTATAAGTTGTTGGAGGGATTTTAATCGAGTGCACCTCTCTTTTCCCACAGGAGGCAAATAAGATGCTCAATACAAAGCACTTGTTCATTTAAGGAGTGAATATAAAGAGTTTAGTAATATGCATAAACAACTTCACTTTTAGGCCCCAAATCAGAACTGCCAACAAAATACCCGAAGCTACACTAAAGTTGAATTCAGGGAGGAGATTTTATCCATCAACAAATGCCTGTGCGTGTGCTTTTAGTTCATTTAAGAGTTTTAAAGGAAATGGATAGTTTAGGGGCTGTAAAGCCATTTCTACCTAATAAAACAATCTTTATTAATGCATTGTTAAAATGATCACACATACGTTACTTAAAAAGCAAGCAAATGATCACAGCAACATGTTCCAGAAGTGCTGACACTAAATTCTGCTCCTGCATTTACAGTGAAATTACAAATTTGGAAGAAAGTTACATACAGAAAACTCGGCCACACAGTATAGCAGATCCATTGCAACTTCTCAAGTGATGGGTTCTGCTCACTCTGGAGAACTGAAATTGAGTTCAATGTCAAGAGGTGCATGGGCTCTACCACCAGCCCGCAGCCACTTACTAGCTGGGTAACCTCGGGAAATGGGCACAGGAAATGTCTTATATGGCTTAGTTCTAGGTACACTGAATATGCCCAATAAATGGTAGCTATTATTATTAATAAACATGTATCATAAATGCCCAGCAAGGGCGAACTATAGATTGAAAATATATGCCTTATAAATTATTTTGAAGGGTTCACTTTTGGGGAGGAGTAGGGAGGATAAGGGTCAGCATCACCTCAGAGTAGAAACTAGTCAAAAAAAAAAAAAAAATTCAAAACCTGCCTGGAGCGGAGAATGAAGGGGCTGCCCCAATATCCCAGCCCCTCTCAATATCAAGGCAAATTATACTATCAGATGAGGGTGGTGGTGGTAACAATTGCTCATCTGAGGAAGCAGCTGCAGCGTGAGAAACCAATGGAGAAGGTTGTCCCAGGGATGTGGAACAACTCTTCTCTCTGCTTCTGACTTGCCATGTGACCTGGATGTGACAATCACACTGCCCCCCACATATGGCCATGTCCTTGTCACGTGTGTGTGTGGGAAGGTTTGTGAGGTGGTAAATCCAGGTGTCCTTCCCCAGCCTTTCAAAAATCTACTTCTTTACCACTTCACAGGAAAAATTGAGATCAAGCTCTTCTAACAAGAGTGTTAGAAAAGATTATCTTTTTACATTGAAAATACAAAATGAAATCCTGTGCTCATAAGCAGGAAGAATTGTTTTTTTGGTTTTCTGGGCTTTTTGCCCCCATCCCATCTAGTTCATGGCTTCCTGTTCTGCAGGGATAGGACTTTGGGCCCCATACAGAGATAATCCTGTCTGGAATAAAAGCTTCTAGAAAATTCCTGAATAGCAAAACAATGCCTGATCCAGTTTGGCAGGATCCAGACAAGTTCTACAAGTTCAAGATGGCATTTTGAACCTGGATTGGGAATCCAAGTTTTTCCCATGGGTTTAAAACTTGTCAGATATTAAAAACATGTTTCCTAAAGAGAGAAGGTTCGGCAGGCTCAGGCTGTGCCTGCCCACCCTGGGCTGTTTTCTGAGTGAGGCTTTCTAGCTAGCAGGCAGCTCACTAAATCACAGTCCTGCTGTCTTATCTTGAATGTGGAGTTCTCCAGGGCAAGATTAGGTTGTTCAAATTAGAAACTGGGTTTAACCAGAGAGAGGCTATCTCCCAGAATTATTTCCCTTTCTCTTTGCTGGCCCAGATGTACTGACTTCTAAGGCTGTATCTGGTAAGCTGCAATGATGCCCAGCTTCCTCCCTAACCAAGAAGCACATGCAATTAATCAGGAGGGATGCACCTTTATCTCAAAGTGCAGCTAGATAGCTATTAAAGGCCTCGCTCTTAAATTTTCTTCTGAGTAAACAGTCAGTGTGTAAAGCTGTTCAATCTTTCATGAGAATTGGAGCCAAAAACGTGATGGTTTGCGGGAGTCTCTCAAGGCTGTATCTGCCTGAAAACATTTTGCAATTAGCCCAGTCACTTTTCATCAGTCATCTTTCTGTCTGTAAAAGAGCAAGGGATTTCGATTTTAAAGGAGCGTATGATGGAGGCCTCTGTTAGTGGACAAACTCTCCCCACTGAATTTAACTTTCAGTTAATGCAGCTTTGGGTACTTCGTTTAAAACTTTGGTTTGGGATTAGACTTGGTTCTTCTTTAAAATATGCCTGAGACTCTTGCTCATATACTCTCCTCCAGCAGATGACTGTTTTGATTTCATGATCTTATTTTCCTCTTCTGGGGAAGGAGGAGGCAATGCTTTTGAATGGAAGTCGTGCTGACTAATGTTCACCCATATAAAGGCCATGGCCCTGGAATGTCTCCAAACAAATCTATGTTGACCTCAATATAGTTCTCAAACTAATTCCTGTAGCTTTTGAGCTGCATGTCCGACCTGGGGCTTGGCTGACAGGGAGTACCTAACAACTATTATTGGTTAATGGCAACATGCTTAGGCATGCTCTGAACTCTCCCTTCGGACAAGGTCGTGAACCCAGTTAGTGCTCTAGAAGTGTTTGCTGCTTGCTACTGGCTCTGATGCTCACTTCAGGACTTGGGAACTTGGATCCCCTGTGCAAAAGGATTTGGATCCAGGTGTTCCCTAAGCTCAGGCTCCCAGAGGCACCCATGGAAGTGGCAGAAACTGACCCCTCATAGTTCTTAACAGCTATTTTGTAGGAAGTAGAGTGAGCCAAGGCAGAGCCAAGGGTGAGCTGACATACATCTTTGGTCTTGCTACATCAAGAGAAGTGCAGAGCTTGTGTGATGTCTAACCTACAATTTGAAAGGAAAGCATGGACTTTCGTGGGCTGAAACATTTTGATCAACATCCAGAAAGCGGCATTTGGAACACAGATATCAGGGAAAACTGTATTAAATAAAGAAGGGTAGACGGTAGTGAGAAAGAAGAGTAGCTCGTGAACCCATCAGCTGACAGTTGACAGCTCTTGAATGCTCTCTCCCCACCCTTTTTTTTGAAAGAAGGAGTATTCAGATAGTAATATGATTTTCAGTGTTTGGTAAACTTTTAAAGTATGAGCTTACAGTGCTCTGTCAATTAAATCAAATGACTAAACAGGCCTTCTCCATCTCCCCTCCATTCAGCCCTAAGAATTAATTTAATCAAGGAAGACATAGCAAACTTGTTTTCAGCTAACACATCCCTAGTCATTCTGGCTCATTCCCAGAGTCAGTCTCAGGGTCATTTCCGAGCCTGTCCTTGCACACATCCTAGCTTCTGGTCGGGCCTTAAACTGAATGAACCGCACAGGGGTGGGCGCTCTAGACAGGAAGGGCCTGTGGACAAGCCAGACCCCATCAAGCGATCACATCAACTTTGAGACTCACAGCTGTCAGCAACCTGGTGTCCGATAAGCTTTCCTGGACATCAGATAGCTGTGAAATAACATTTTGATGAATTGCATAAAAAATGAATCACAAACATGTGGAATACATTTTCTTCACTGCACTCAGGATTTAAAATTTACAAGGAAAAGTATTTGGCCACATTTGCCAAACCCAAGAAGCATTTGAAAGGAAGCCAGTAAAAGATGTTTCGTGGAGACCGGCTGGGTTTACTCAGCTCTGCTCATAAAGAGGGTTCATACAGAAATCACTCCAGCCTTTCTCAGAGCCATTAGCCCTGATTCGGGAGACTGCCTTGGGGATGGCTGACAAGAGCACTTGGTCACTCCCTTGCCTACCAGGTCCAAAGGCCAGGAAGATGCCCCTCATGTCCATGAGCTCGTTGTCATATCCATGCCACCCACGCTGCCAGCCTTCCCTCCTGCCGGTGCTGTTCATCCAGAATGGAAGCGTCTCTCGACTCTGAAATCAAGCAAGGTAAATTACATGACACTGTGTCTTCACAATCATCATGAGTGGGCACCTGGTCCAAATGCCACCCAGGGTGGAGATGTGGGGACTTCCTCCTCGGCCTTCCTGATCGGGGCCATCCAGCCTCAGCTGGATCACTTCCTCCCCCAGGTAGCTCGGACCTCTGGCAGCAGCCTATTAAATTGCTGAACAGCTCTAGTTTAGGAGGGATTTCCTCACATTGAGCTGAACTGTATCTTGTAATCTGTTTCAGAACCACTAAATATAGCATGTTAGTGACAGAAGGGATGCTAAAGTGTATCTGTGGTATAATAAAAAATATGTTTGGTCTTTGTCCCAGGTTTCTGAGACAGTGCTCCTAAAACGCTTGGAATTTCCTGAGTGATAGAAGTGTCTTTTGTTATTCATAACAAGCCCCTTTTCCCCATCCCTGAGCTTATGCTAATGAGGTAAGTCATGGGGTTGGGGGCTAGATGGCTTCAGGATGGGGGCTGGTTAACAGAGGTACAACCATGTGATTAGAGGGTTGCAAACTTCAACCTCACCCCTCAACCACTGAGTTCAGTCATGTGACCAGTGATCTAATCACCCGTGCCTACACATTGAAATTCCATGTAAAACCCTGGAACAACATGGTTCAGGGAGCTTCCAGGGCACGGATGCTCTGTGCCCTTCACCTCCCATACTTTGCCACAGGCATCTCTTCCATGTGGCTGTTCCTAAGCGGTGTCCTTTATAATAGAACTGTAATGATAAGTACAGAGCTTTCCTGAGTTCTGTGATTCATTCTAATGAATTATCAAACCTTAAGTGGGGGTTTGAGAACCCTCAAATTTGTAAGCAAATCAGACACACATGCAGCCTGGGGATCCCTCCCAGCATCTGAAGAGGGGGCAGTCTCGGACTGATCCCCTTAACCTGTGAGGCCTGCTCTAACTGCAGGTATTAGTGTCAGGATTGAATTGAATCGTAGGATACCCAGGTCATGTTGGAGAATTGTTGTTGGAAAATACAGTATCTATCAATTCACCTTATTTTACTAGCAAAGTACAGAGGGTTTCACTCACTACCATCCCAGCGTCCTTTCCACCCCACCCTTCCTTCCTTCCAGCTCTACCCTGGGAGCCACTTAGAACAAAGCAGTCTCTTCTATTTATTCAAACATTTGAAGGTGACTCCCACGTTCCTCTTATCCAGGCTTTGCATATCAACCATTCTTCATTTGGGACGGGTTCTAGAACCATCACTCCCCTGTCACCCTTTTTTTCTTAGAACTAAATTTTCTTAGACCATGGATGCTTACTTGTTGCAAAACAAGGGGCATAAAGTAGGTTTTGAGAATCCTAAGGAGGCTGCCTCCAGCTGAACACAACCCTAAGCCATTCATTGCAGACTAACCATTCGCTCCTGATATTCGAATCATCTGTTTGCTAAGCAGGGTTTAATATTTCAAATATTTCAAATGCAGGAGGTAGGATTGGCTGGTTGTAATGAATGAGTAGAATCAAAACAACTAAACTACCAGCAATTTACAGGTTAGCTCGCAAGACCAGTAATAGTACCATGCATTTAGTGAGCCATACAGTTCACCAAGAGTCAACACTGATGTTCACTTAATCGTCACAGCATCCCAGTGTGGACAGTACTATTTTCTCCATTTGGTAGTTGAAGGAACTTTGGCACAGAGAGGTTAAGTGACATTTTTAGAATCACGCAGCTAGTGTAAGGCAGAGCTGGGATTAGAACCCAAGTCGTCTCTCTCTCGGTCCTTGTGCAACTTCCCATAGCCAGAGGTCACTGCAGTGCCCCGGTGGCACTGGATAGTGAGGTGTCACCTTGTCCCTTGCATGTTCACTTGCTGAGTGTGGCCAGATGTAAAGTAAAAAGATTTTGGAGTTAGATTGGCTTGGGATGAATTCCCAGTTGCCCCTTTCTAGCTCTGTGATCCTGGAAAGCTGCTTAACTTCTCTGAGCTTCAGTTTCCTTGCTGGATATGGGGATGAGAATACCTGCCTGGCAGGGTTTTGGGGGGATTCCATGGCTGTGTGCTAAGTACCTGACACACAAAAAGTGCTCGGTGAAGGGCTGCGATCTGGCCACGGGACGCGAAGACTGGTGGTGTGCAGCAGGGCCGTGGCAGCGGTGGGGGCTGACCTCTGCGATTTAGCTGTCATGTCCCATCGCACACCCATCCAGTCTCTCCCCATGGATCACTTTCCAAATCGTGCTGTGTCATGGACTCTCCATTTCCTGAATTTTCATCATCCTCGTCCTTTCTTCTCCAGCTGTAGCTTGTATTTTTCCATGGGAAAGCTTTATTAACTTATTACATCTCTAACTTCATATACTGCTTTTTGTTCTCTGCCTATGGTGACAATCACAACACATCCCAATTTAGCTTCGTCAGCTAATTTCATGTGTTGCTTCTTCCTCTCACAGTTGACAAGGCAGGGAGTCCTCAAGCACCAAGGAGGACATTTTTATTAACGACTTTATTAATTACGAACCCCATTGTATGTATGTACCCCATGACAAATGAACAGGTAAAACAGAGATGAAGATTGATTGCCTAATGGAAAATTCGTGGTCTAAATCCCACAAATAAACACATACAACAATGAAAACTTCAGCCCAGAAGGTAATTTGGCATCTGTCTTGATCAGAGGTAAATCCACTAGTTTTATTAAAGTAAGTTGCCCCAGCAAAACAACTGTACTTACTGATTTTAAAAAAATGGTAAGCTGGCTGGCTCTCAGCATCTTGTTTTGTGCCCCACATTACCGTCCCCAGGGCATGCACGTGGGGCAGTGCTGGCGAAGAAGCACGTGTCACACACCTTTCGGCCTCCAGAGCGGGAATCACCCTGGCTCATGGATCCTCAAGCTACTAGTAGAGAAGCCGCGCACGTGGGGCAGTGCTGGCGAAGAAGCACGTGTCACACACCTCTCGGCCTCCAGAGCGGGAATCACCCTGGCTCATGGATCCTCAAGCTACTAGTAGAGAAGCCGACCCCTTCCAGACCCAACCAAGCCCATGGACTGCCACCTACTGCCACCTAGTGACATCCCAGAGAGCCACCCACACCCTCCAGATCAGGCCAAAAAGTTGTGTCACTCAGAAAGCCAGGCCTATCGTGGGGTGGGCAGCTAGTTCCCAGCCTTGCAGGAAGCACCTGGTCCTTTCGCAGCATGTGCTGGAGGAGGTGGTTCCCCAGTAAGAGGCTGGGGGGGAAGGGGATCCACTTCGTGAAGGCAGTGGAGAAACGGGATGTCCCTGGTGAGAGGAGTCCCCAGCGAGGTCAGAGTGTCCTTGCCAGCAGGTGGGAGAAGCAGTGATTTCAGGGCCGGTTTTTTCCATTCCACAGACATGCACTGAGCTCTGGGTCTGTGCCAGGCACTCAGCTGGGCTTTTGGGGTGGGGGGCACAGAGCAGGAGGGCAGCACCTTCACCGGAAAGAGCTTGTCTTTAGTGAGGGAGGAAGGGGGGTTGCAGCTTCAGGTACTGATGCCCAAGTGAGCCGGGATGGGGAGTGGGGGCCCTAATCCCTAAGAAGGAGGGAGGTTCAGGCAGTGGGGAGGCCTTGGGCCTACGGGGAAGCAGAGGTGCCCTGCGGGGAGAGCCAGTGAGTGGGGATGGGCTGTGCCTGTGTGTGTATGAGTGTGTGAGTATGTGTGTGTGGATGAGAGTGTGTTTGTGCATGTGTGAGTGTGTGTATATGTATTTGTGTGTAAGCACATGGGTGTGTGTATGTGAATATGTGAGAGTATGTGTACATGTGTGTGTAAGTGTGTGAGTGCATGTGTGTGTAAACGTGTGAGTGTGTGACTGCTCGCATGTCCGTGTGTGTGTGTGTAGTGGGGGAAGGGTTTGGGAGGGGCAGGGGCCACAGTGAGGAGGCCACCATGAGCCACTAAGTTCCTACTGTAGCAGGGTGGGGGGACTCTGTCAGTGGGGAAGGCCTGACCACGAGAGGGAGGGCCCGTATGACCTGCACACGACACGTGGGAGAAGATCAGAGGAAAGAGGCCCCCAGGGAGAGGCTGTTGGAAGGAGCAAGGAGGTGAGAGGAATTGGGGTTTTCTGCTCTCAGGGGCTATCCAGGGTTGTGCTAATCAAACAGGGTGACCAACTGTTTGATTGTTTGCAGCTGAGGGGGTGTCAGGGATACAAGACTTTCACTTTTAAAACCAGGGCAGTCCCAGGCAACCCAGGACAAGTTGGTCACTCTACAATCGACACTGCCTTAGGCATTTAAATGAAACCCTTGCCCAGTGTAATTTGTTCAGTGCATCTCATCGCCTCCCAGGACCCTCCCCCTACACGCAGGTGGGTGGCAATTGGGGACCCTCCTTGATGAACCACTCAACTAGTTCATCATTCCTAACAGGAGGGAACCAGAAGCAAGCAGCTCCACGCGGGAAATGCTGTGAGAAATGGTGAGCTGTTGTGTTCATGGACTTGGGGGCTCCTGGTTTGGTGGCTACACCCACTATTTTATGCCATGGCTGCTTTAAGGCTGGAGCTGCTGAGCACACAGAGCAGGAGCTGGCAAAAGCCACATCTGGGCCCTTCAGATGGAGTTGCTTGGAGGCGGCAGGGGAAAAGAGGGCCTTGGTGGCCCTCAGGCCAGCAAGACCACTAATATGGTTCCCATGGACTGACATAGGAATAAGGAGCCACAAGAACTGAAAAAATGGAGCCACTCAGAGGCTGGTGAGTCATCGCAAGGGACTGGTGCATGGCTTGCCCCATGGGAAGTGTTTGCCGCACAGGCAGTTGGAGAGATCACCAGCTCACCA